ATTTGTTATTTCCCTGCTCCCATGACACTGTTCATCTTATCAATGTTGTTACCTCTTCGCTTTCTCTTTAGGTAAAAGCCGTATGAATTCCAATAATAAAGAAAGAGACATCGACAATGGAACAATACAATATTAAATAGAAGTTTCAAGCCAACACGGCAATTTAATGAACTATTATTTATATTGATACAAGGGATTATTGAACTCCACCTGTTGTGTTTTAGCACTTATCTTTTATATTGTTGGGTTTCAAGTTCGGACAAAAAAAATGAGGATTGTGTTAAATAGTTGATACTCGGCATAAAGTTTTGTCACATCCAATATGATATAAGTGTAAAAATTTATACATAAAATATTACATTTATAGAGCACAATAGAATAACAAGATTCACAACAAAAAATGGGGACAAAGGCTTTTTTTTTTTTTAGTTCAACGGCCTAGAGTGTCTAGGTCAGTTTACGCGCACCTCGATTAATCTTCTCTCCGATTTAATCAAATGCAGGTTATCTATACTAAAACTAAGATATTTATAAAAATTAAATCTCTCAAGATGTTGCCAAGAGATTGTCGAGTTGAGTAGGAGATTATTGGAACCAGGCCAAAGGACAAAGGTTTCACTGCAGTCACTTAAAACAAAAGTATTAGCCTTTGTTCTAACTTGTTCAATCAACTATGTTATTATGTTGTTTTTATCGCCTCTCCTCTGGATTTAACAAAGGCTGTCATTTAGTTTCATTTCACTGATTCCCAAGAGATCAACATTTTTATACATCAACCAAGAATATTAGGTGTATATAGATGATAACATGATCATTGTTTTCAAAACTACAACACTCTAGTTGTGTTTTGAAGTCATGATAATCTTTGTTTCAGGTTTTGTTTGCTTACTTTTCCTCCTAATTCTGATCAAGTTCTTCCACAAGGTATGGTGGACTCCAATTTACATTCAATATGTCATGAGGTCTCAAGGAGTCAAAGGCCCTTCTTATGAATTCTTCCATGGAAACAACAAAGAGGTGATTAACATGAAAAAAAATTCCATGATCCGTCCCATGGACTTGTCACATGACATATTTTCCAGGATTCAGCCTCACATGTACTCGTGGATCAAGCAATATGGTAAGAACCCGTTAATTAAACGTTGTTTAAGTGTTAGTTATGAATCCTTAATCCTAGTCAAAGTTTCGAAGACTAATTATTGCTATTGGAACAGGGAAGCAATTTCTTTTGTGGAATGGTCCTCAAGCTCAGTTGGTTGTTACTGAACCTGAGCTAATTAAAGAGATACTAAGCAATAAAAATGGTGCATTTTCAAAAATTAAACTCCAAAATCATGTGAAGAAGTTAATAGGAGATGGGCTTGTGGCTACAGAAGGTAAAAAATGGTCAAAACTACGCAAACTGGCAAACCATGCTTTCCATGCTGAGAGTTTGAAGGTTTGATTTTCTTCTTCCTATTAGTGAAACATGTTGTTAATCATAGTCAAATTTAATATTAAAGTACATTAATTAAGACGTTAAGTGAGAATAATTTCGAAGGATGGCCTTGTATTTAGGATATGGTTCCAACAATGATTGCAAGTGTAGAAGCTATGCTTGAAGGATGGAGAGATTATGTAGGTAAGGAGACAGAGGTATATGAAAATTTTAGTGTTTTGACCTCAGAAGTAATATCAAAGACAGCTTTTGGAAGCAGTTACTTAGAAGGGAAGAATATATTCGAGATGTTAGAGAAGTTGGGTGTGGTAATGTTCAGAAACGATGGCAAAGTACGTTTTCCCATCCCCGAGTAAGCTTCCTCTTTCCCATTACTATTCTCTCATTTGTCTAACTATGTCGATTATGAGTTAGTAGAAGAAAATCAGCACTAAAGACATGTTGCAACATCCCCATCTTTTTTCATTCTTGTTCTTCATCAACTACTCGTACAAGCATTACATTGTTAGGTGCTCATAACCTTGAGGAAATTTTTTGTTTTTACTAATTTTTACAACTAAATTTGACAGTCATGTCTATGTCTCCAACTTTCTTCCGAAAGTCAATACAACATAAGAACGAGTAAAACAAGATAAAGAAGAACCTTCATTCTATGAACCTTTTTATTGAATTGAATGTTTGGTATCAGAGCTCGTAGAAAAAGTGTTTCACTCACCTTTGCAGTCTATTACTTCGGCTTCTTGGGAATCTGCTAATAATGAGGCAATTAACAATTGACTTTTGTAGATCTTGTTTTGAAGTAAACTAATCAATTCCCTCTTTTACAGAAAACTATACAAAACAGCAGATGACATTGAATCGGATGAACTTGAACAATCACTGCGTAACTCCATTATATCAATTGTAAAGAAAAGGGACGAGAAAATCAAGAATGGAGAAGCAGATAGCTATGGGAGTGATTTTCTTGGATCGCTGATAAACATGCACCGTGATAAGGATGAGATTAACAGAATTTCGCTGGATGATCTGATTGATGAGTGTAAGACATTCTACCTAGCCGGACATGAAACAACTAGCACCTTACTAGCTTGGGTCATTCTTCTTCTAGCAATCTACACAGATTGGCAACAGAAAGCTAGGGAAGAGGTTCTTGAACTATTCAGTAAAGAAACTCCAAATCCTGAGGGAATTGTGAAATTAAAGACTGTAAGCAAATTTAAATAACTACCTTTTGTTTGTTCAGCTTGTAGTCCACTTTTGCAATTCAGTATCTAACTTGTTCCTCTCTCTCTCTCTCTCTCTCTCTCAATTTTTCTTGTAGGTCAACATGATCATATGTGAAACATTGAGGCTATACCCTCCAGTTACTAGACTTGCAAGAACGGTGAAAAGCAAAGTTAGACTGGGGAAGCTTGTTCTTCCACCAAATGTAGAGATTCTTATTCCACCTCTAGCACTCCACTTGAACCCCGAAATATGGGGACGAGATGCTCACCTCTTTAAACCAGAGAGATTTTCGGAAGGGGTGGCTAAAGCAACAAATAACAACATGATGGCTTTTCTTCCATTTGGTTATGGACCTCGAACGTGTGTGGGTTTGAACTTTGCAAACACTGAAGCAAAGATTGTACTCTCAATGATCTTGCAGCGTTACAAGTTCACTCTTTCGCCATCTTATGTCCACTCGCCAATTCAGTTTTTCACTATTCGCCCCCATCATGGAGTTCAAGTGGTGCTCCACTCAATATAATCTGGAACTCTCAGTACTATGTTGGTTCAGAATCTTATCATCTGGAGTGGCAAAGCAATTGTGTGCAGTAATAAAAGTACTTCTATCAAGAAAATTTTACTTCCAAATCCAGTGACATCTTCACATTTTTTAATATATACACTAGTAGATCACTATTAACAATCAAATATTACAATTTAGATCAATGAATAAATAATCGGGGAGAAACCACCTACCAAGGGATGAAAAGAACCCGAAAGAGAGGTTAAATAGAACTCTCAAAGATGGGGACAAGATATCCATCTTGCCTGGCAATGATTGATGTTATAGATTATTTGAACTGCTCTCTCTGCCTTTCAGTTCCTGAAACAACTAGCTTTTAGGGATTGTGCTGCATCCATGAGCATACTATTCCAATTCAACTTATGTGACTGGTTATCATTTACAAATCCACTGTATAGTATCCACATACATCATAATTTGCATTCCTGGGCCAACCGTGTTGCCTTTACCTACAGATTCATTTGGCTGAAACAAAATAAATGGACATTTCAACAGTGGGCCAGTAGTACTACGAATACACCACAGATATAACTAAACAAATCTCATGAACGTACGTATTGTTAAAATAGGCATGTGTACAAGCTCAAATGCAGCTCAATTTAGTGGCATTCAGACTTGTTCTGGTTGTATAATGAAATGAATTTGTTCAGATTTCTAAGATCGTTTATAAGCGAACTAAATCAAAAATTAGTCGCTCAGCTCAACTCGGCTCCAAAAAGTTTCCACCTAGAAATAATTCAATTCAATGTCAACAGGCCTCAATATGAACTGTAAACAGTCCCAAATTTTTCCCAAAATTAGACCCTTCTCCACAAAACTAATCCAGTTTTTCATCTTCTGCAAGTTCAATCTCTGAACCAACCAATGGTGAAGTCTATTTCTCTCAGGAGATCCACAAGGCTTCTTCAACTGGCAGATCATATGCAAATTTCCTATTAACATCATCCTCTTAAAGCTTATGAGTTTATACTCAGAGACACTCTTTTAACTGGGTCTATAGAGAGCCTTCAATACAATCACTTGGTTACAACCATGAGAATCTGATATGTATCCTTCGCCTAGACTGGAACCTATATTACTGAGTAGTGCCTCAACCATGGCTGATTTTGAGCACCAAGGAAGGAAAGGACTAATCATTAGCATAAAACAACAGCACCTGCTAACTTCTAATGCATTCAAGGACAAAAAATCAGTAGTACCCTCTAGGTAATCCGAATGCCTAGTACTGCCTTCTGTCTTCTTAATGTTTTTACCATAATAAATCGAAACAGATCATAAATCGTAACAACGTCTTGATCCAGAAAAATTGGGAGCTCGCTCTAGTAGCACTTTGTTTAGGAAAATGCATCTTCCAACATTGTAACAACCATGGTGCCATTTAACATCTAGTATTTTGCTCCTGTATTGTGCTAAGAATATGTATATCAATGAAAATAAAGTTGTTTGAGCTTATTCTAGTTGACCTATAGAGGCCTCTGAACGATCAACTCCGGGGGTTTTCTTTCTTCTTTTAGCATGGCCAGCTCGACAATCCCAGAACCACACAAACAAATAGTAGTTGTGGCAATGATTGTTATATGCAAGGAAAATAAAACACAAATAATGCTAACCATTAAAGATGAAAATCAAGCATATCCTACTATACTATCAACAATTATAGGATAATCTCGTAGACAAACAAAAGACTTAATGAACGTTGCAAATGGTCATACAATGCTTCTATTTAAAAAAAAAGAAATCCACCGTAATTAGGGATAAAGCTCGCGAGACTTAACGAGACTTTGCAGTACTTTCCTCTTGAATGTAGGTAGATTCAAGGAATGAGGGTAACACAAGGGGAGAAAGAAGAGGAATGGGATCTTTATTGTGGTAGCAAGAAGTAAATGAAGAAGATGACAACGACGAGGATGATTCCTCATTGCCACCCTTCGATGTTATTTCACTTTTGCTCTCAATAGAGACGGTTGGTTTTAGCTGAAGGGGACGAGGTGCTCGCCTTTGCAACCGGCTCAAAGGCCTTTTCGATACAAACTCATTCGAAACTGAAGTTTGGAAGCCAGGAAACTCATTATCAGAGACCTCCATAGCTTCAAATGCTTTGTTGGTGCACTTGTAATCTCTTAAAACGTAGTTCACTCTTAAAGAGTAAGCCAAAGAGTGAGAGACCAAGAACTGAGCTTTTGTACAAGGATATGGAAAAAAATGATATGCAATTGTTAAGAAACATGTATAAGCACACTTTTCTGCCACGTTCGGGTTGTCTAAGTTAAACCCGTCTTTCAGAATTGGACGATGAGAATCTAATGGTCAAGATTTGGCCATCTCCTCGTGCAAATTTTGAGGCTTAATTAGCGAGTAGATGAGCTTACATAATCTTGATTGTTCGATTCTTATCTTACTGCTCTAACAAAGTCAGAAGACCCGGATTTTTGACCATGGCCCCATGCGAGGGTATCCTATGACTGTTTGATTAATTGGTCACATGGTCCAGCCTATACAGACCCCCATAATGCCTCGTGACAGGAAGTGTGGCATAAAAGACTTGATCTTGACTGACTTGTATATATATCTTAGCTTTCATGTGGGCAAGGAATCAGTGCACTCATTCGTTAAGGGACAGAAGGTCCATAAAGCACATGACTCTAGCTTTTATAACGATTTTTCCCTGCATTTTTCCCCCATTAACTTCATAGTGTATAACATTGGAATCCTGAAGCACCACCACGAACGCTACGGCGTGTCCACCTGTGGTTACATTGATTATCATGAAGAGATCTAACCTTTGAATATCACAACTTGTATATAGAAAATAGTTATTCAGTGCATATTTGGGGGGTTAGTTTTGAAATGGAAGTTTTGATAGATAATAAATTACTGTGTCAGTATTTAAGTTTAGTATTAAGTCAAAATTGACTATCTCAAACACTACGTGTGATTTTACCAATGTATTAAGTAAATCTAATAGATGGAATCCATTCGATTATGATTCCGATATTTTAAAACTAAGCTTATGTCCAATAATATCCTGGTGAAAGTTCATGATTTTGCAAGGACTATGATCCGGCATAAACAATCAGACCATCTTCAGGAAATAAATAATAGACACCTTCCAAGTGAAACTTCCGTCGGACATAACTGACTGTTGACTAGTCCAAGCAAATATTTAATTGTTTATGAGTTATTTGCATGTTAGCCTAATATTTTAGGCAAATTGTACTCGGACCCCTAAAAGATTTAAAAAAAAATATTTTACACCCTTAAATATTAGATTTCTCACATTACAACCTCAATGTATTAAAAATATTGATGATTCTTGTAATTATATTAAAAGTATTGAAATGTCAACTTTCCGCTAGGTTTCGTTGTTCATTCTATCAATATCAATTGGTTAATTTTTGACGGATTGAACAACGAAAGTTAACACATGCTTACTAGATGATTTGACTAATATCATTTGTGTGGTTTAATTAGGATGTTGACGGAATTTTAATTATTCAATTCTAATTAGTTTCAATATTTTTACATATTAAATGATTATTTCGAATAAAGTTTTAAAAAGAATAGGATGAAAGACGCTACATTATTTGTACAAATGGAATTTACGTCATATTTACCTAATAAAGACTTATATTTTTTTGTCGTGTAGAGACTTTAAATCTTTCCGAGATTTAAACCATAAATTTCTCAAGTACGAGATAATAAACTGCTCAAACTAATATATTATAATTCGTCATATTTCTATTTGGGTCTTAAAATCTATTTCCCTTGAACGTTGAGGACTAGGACATTAATGAAGAAAGTATATTTGATTGTTGGCTTCCAACGATTACATTGAAAAAAAAAAAACCGAATTTTTTGGATCAGTGGATTGGGCCTGATCCTCTAATCGGGCTAAAACTACAACCCACAATCCAACATATTAGGTTGAGCAGGACATGGAATGTTGACGGGTCGGTAGGCTTCTGGGTCGGCCTATTTGCCAACATCCGCGTGAGAGCATGCTACATCGGCTCATATAGTATCATCATCCAATAAATAACTAAATAGGCAAATGAACAGTAAAAATTTCAATAACTACTACATTTATATAATATACATACCGCATGTAAGAAACTAAACTTTTATTTTTTTTATTTGTTTATTAATTTTTTATGAGATGATGAAAACGCATGGTGTTATTGTCAACTAGTTGGTGGTCTAGTGATAAGTCATACCTATTTAGGGTCGTCTTGAACTCCCATGTAATTATCAACCATAGTTCGATTCAAAGAAGTAACATGGTTTGTTATTTGACTTTGGTGGTGATGTGGTGACAAGCTGCCCTTCTGAATTAGTAGTTATAACTTAAATCGGACATCCCACAATGTAGGAATCCTTATAGTCATGCTCGGAAGTCACTACCTACTAATTGTCCCTCCATTTTTTTACCTAGTAAAAAAAAAATTTCAAATTAAGCATTCACCTTATTACTTTTAATTTGTATGTATATGTGTATATATATATGTGTGTGTGTTTGTAATGTGACACTCTCAAGGCGTTTTTGCTCTAAATTTTTTTAAAAGTTTTTCATTTTTATGCTCTTGGGCTTGCCTTCACTTTCGTTCCCGCTCTATGTGCCAATCATAGAGGTGGTGAAAATGATAGTGAGTGTGAGTGGTTAGATGGGGATTCAACAAAGCATAAAACTTTTAGCCAAAGCAATTCTCCATTTGTGCATTTTGTATAGTGGTTGTGTACATTGGTTTTCAAATACATCATCCTCTCAAATTTAGTCAAAAAAGAAGGATGAGATCGGTTTCCCATTTGGGTGGAGAGACTCCTTTTTGTATCAAAGATGTGGACCATTATTTCTAAGGGTTAGAGAAAAGTGGAAAATTGGTGATCAAATAAGGGTTATTATGCATTAGACTTGCTAACGAATTAGATTTTAAACATTCGCATCCAACTTAAAAGACATTAATTTAAATATTTAACGAACTTTATTTCTACAGTCCATACCTAAATCCGATAAAAATTAAAAAGTCAATTCGATTCAACCAATTATATCTCAATGTCAGCTTCTTTTATCAATTAATCACTTAATTGTGTCATATATTTATATGAATATCATAGACAAATACTAAGATTTATCATGTTGCAGATGGAGGAACACCATCTTCAATGTGTGGAGAACTAAATTCCGCATCAAAATCATATATCACCAATACGAATGTGACAACTAGACACGAAATTCAGATCGATGAAAGTTAAAAAAAAAAAAAAAATCAATTGGTTAAACTAGTGTTCCAACGTGAACGAGAATAATCACAATTATATTAGGCCTTTGATCTATGCATGGTCTAGATTTGTCCCAAGTTTATCATTCCTCTCCTCTTTTCGGATATTTCATTTTAGTACAAGCCCGATATCATTTCTTTTAACATACAAGTTAAAAAAAAAAACAGCTGATAACGTGACTTGAGTTTTATCAAATGGGTGACTCAAAAGATTCCCAACAGAATCAGAAAATCAGGACATGATTGATGGAAATAAAGCTACAGCTTCTAACCAGCTTCAATGGCAAGCATTCCAACAGAGCAGAAGTTTCGTAGGAAAAACAAAGTAATTATGACCCAACAGAGCAGAAGTTTCGTAGGAAAAATAAAGTAATTATGACCCAACAGAGCAGAAGTTTCGTAGGAAAAATAAAGTAATTATGATTGGCAGAGCAGACAAATTTTTGTAATGTACATGTCCCTATTTGACTAGAGCAATATCTCCATGAAAGTCTTGGTAAACCATGAAGAATCTTCTGCCCAAGTATGAGATGTTGAAAGTAGTGTTCCTACTCTACGGCTATACGGCTAGGTTCTTCGTTTTGATATTTTATAAAAGAATTTTTTTTGTTCCTACCTGATCAAATGTGGTATTCTTATCCGACTTCTAACTAAATTAATCGTGTAAAAAGTTGAGTAGGAAATCGGATGAACACTTTTGTAGTTATTAATTTTTAGATCATTTTAACAATTTAATAAAATAATATGCATCAATTTAATAACACTAAAACCTAAAACAATTACAACAACAATTACAATAAAACACAAAAGAACATAAACATCAATTTATCATAATTGTTGTACAAATACAATAACAATTATTTTAAATTTAAATCATATGGTTAGGAAATTAAAGTTTTTAGTATATATATATAAATAATGCGGGTGAGATAGGATAAAAATACGGAAATTAATGACTATTCTACATTTCTACTCGATTTAATCAGAAGACAAAAAATTCTTCCGCATGCCTACCCGATTTTTTTGGTTTACCGTTCAATAGGATCGGATAGAATAGAAAATTACGACTAATTAAAAATTTGAACACCTCTAATGGAAAGCCGCCAAACCCAAATGGCTGACCATGGTCGGTAGTTTCACCAACTGATAAGGACATCCTGATTTGAGTTTGATGTATACTTTACTCCCAAGAAGGACGTTTCCAACCTGTTTGATATTTGAATCTTTCAAATTTGCATCAATCAGAGAAACTGAAGTCGAGCATGGTTTCAATGTCTGGCCACGAACACCAAAAGATTACAACAGCTCACTCTTGACTAATATAACAAAATAATGAAAAACATTTTGACTCCTAATGATGCCACAAGATTAGAAGGTAGAAAATTGAACTGCACAATGATCTGATCTTGACACGATTTTTTTCAGCATGATCAAGATCTTCCATCTTTGCTCTCGAGGAACCAACGTGGTGTTGGATCTGTCCAAACAAATAAAGGGTACGACAGCAAATGGGGGCATATTTACAGGCACTGCGCCATTTCTACAAATTCCTAACCTCAAAACATGGCTGCGTGTGGTACTAAATTAAGGGCCATACAACCAAATAAGGCTGATAACAGTACTGTAGTAATGGTTGAAGTGGAGGGGAATGTATATACATGCGGAGGAAGCTAAGGTACTAAGTCAAGAATAGGATCTAACCAAGCCAAAATTAACGAAAGATCTGGACTTAAAGAGACCACCAAAGAGAAACTTGGTTGGAGATTCTTGAGGAGCTTGATTTAACTCTTCAGGAGTGCCTTTCACTTGGAGTATGGTTTGCCCAATTGCTTGCCGAATGGAATCTATAATCTTGGCATCAACAGGATACCCTGATGCATCACGAACATAGAATGTGTTAACAGCTTTACCAGTTCTAGTTGTCACTTCTGCTCTGGTGACAGTGAGGCTATTCTCGCGGAAGATTCGAGTAACATCAGATAGCAGCCCAACTCTGTCAGTAGTGCATAGTTCTAGCTTCAATCCCTGGATAGCAAAAGAAACAAATGAGTGGTCAATGGATGGCCCCCCTCCGAAAAGGAAAATGAGTAATGTGATGGAATCTTTGCTTTCAGCTGACAGGCATGATTTATGTTATGGACAAGAAGAACCGTCTAAACATTACATGTATGCATCAAATAACAATACATCTCTAACATAATCCAAGAACATTATCTTAAAACAACTGCGTGTTAAAAAAGAAAAAAAACATAATCCCACAATAGAATGAAGCATATAGGAGCCAGATTTATATGGAACAGATCAGTGAACAAGAAGATATGATATGACAATTTGAAATCACATCATTGGACTGGTTAAATTCCTCTTAAAATTTATTGCATCAAATGCATATAGAAGTCAAAATATCACCTTTCAATCAAAAGCAGAGACCAATAACCTCAAACCTGAAAGATGAGACTTTAAAAACTACAAGCAAACATCAATTCTAACAAATTGGTTATCCTCCAGTATATGTGCAGCACAAAAACCACAAGTGCACATGGATAGTAATGGTTAAGCCTCAAATACACCATTTAGCAGTAGCAAAGGAAAATATTTAACAAGAACTTTAATAGGGGATGGTGCCTTACTTCAGATACTCTTCTTTCTATTGCAGCTTGAAGACATTGGACAACTCTTTGTCTCTCTGCATCTGATTTCACAGGGGATCCATCTACATGTCTGATACAGTATTCCTTCAATGCACACAAAAACTTCTTTTAGCCTATCTACTTAAGAGAAAAAGCAATGGCCACTGCAATCCAAACTAAAGGTATATCCACAGGTTAATCACAAACCTGATGAGCTTCTGGCCCCTCAGCATCGACACTGCCATGGAAAACCACATACTGCATGTCTGTCAAAGTGCATATTATATCAAAGAGAAGTTTAGGCCTATCCTTGCATCTGATTGTGATTACAGAGTAATCTTTGTCATGCCAATTAACTACATTCACATCTGGCCTTTCTCTTTCATCCAAGCCTTCATCACTACCCCGTTCATAGTCTCGATCAGCAAACATCATCTGATGAAGCCTTCGCTCTGTGTGTGTGACCCCATGAGAGACCACAGTCTTAGCCTCTCTGGATTTGTTGCTTCCCTTAAGTACATTGCATAATAGTTTCTTGATCATAGATAGCCTCTCTGTGTCAGTGATTGCAGCCCCGGTTTCCTCATCAGTAACTTGCATCACAGCTGCAGCACGGGAGTTGTGGGTCCACACCTCAGCATTCACCACATTACATTTGAGGTGGGTGAGGACAGCACTCACCTCAGAGAGTAGCCCCGGCCTGTCACTGCCTATTAACTCAATTGAAGAGTGGTCCACAGACGATTTAACCCCAACAGATCTTCTCATGGAGGAAGCAAAACACGAATCTGGCCCGAGAGACTGAAAACGAATCCAGAGGATCAGCTTGGTGTGCACATAAATACAAATACAATGGTGAAGTGAGACAACGCTGTCACATTTAACACAACTCACCTTCTCAATAAACTCCAGAATTCCATCATCTATGATTTTGCTCCCTTCTTGATCAGTAACATTGAAGACTGTCAAAAACTTACAGAAATTACTCTTAAGCCCAAAAATAAATGGTAGAGAGACTGGAACAAAATAAGTAAATGTTATTACCATCCATGAACCATCCTCCATCAGAGCATATGTAAGCTTTAGTAACGATAAGGTTAAGATCAGTAAGGACTTGCACTACTTCCAAAAGAATTCCATATTTGTTAGCACTGTCCACCTGCATAAATCAATGGAAGGTATAACCCAACAAGATCACAAATTAAGAAAAAACCATTGATGATATTATAAAATACAAAAGAGGGACCAAAACAGGCCATACCTGTATAACAGTAGCATTTTTGCAGGACTCGTTATCAATTACAACTCTGACAAGAAGATAAAAGGGACAAATTGGAGTAAAGTCTGAAGTATAGGGTATAGGGCATTCAATTGAAGTGGCTTCCAAATAGAGGAAAGAAGATAAGAGAAGAAAATAAGTACCTGGGTGGGTTCATTCTTCTAATGAATTTCTCATATTCATCGTCCATGTTCTGTGAAAAGCTCATAGTGGTATCTGAAAAACATAAATTTACAAGCTCAGCAACAGCCAAATTAATAAACAACGAATCAGAAAACATAGAGAATCACCATTACCAATCACAAAAGAGATACTGGGAGCTAGGAGTGTCAAACAAATAATTAATTCTATGATGAGAAGACGGAGGAAAAAGAAAAGTAGCCAATCATGAAGATTTGAAACAGGGTTACGATAACCCTGTTACCAAGAAGGCGAATTAAGAAGCCCAAACCACCAGAAAAAAGGTGTTTATACAATCTGTCTGGGTGGGGTGGGGTGGGGTGGGGTGGTGGGGCTTTGTGTCTGTGTAGGAACCATAGTTCCTCAACCTTACCATTGAAACACACACATGCTGAGAGAGAGAGGAGAGAGAGAGAGGCGGAAAACAAGCACAAATACCACAACTAATCGGAGGCGAGACACACCCAACATTCAATAAAGATAACATAGTCCACACAACTAACAGAATCCACCAAATCCCGAAGGAAAAAAGAATAAAACATCAACAAGAACAATACTACTGACAAACCATAACTAAGAATTAAGAGCAATAATTACAAACTCAACAAACATGACTCCAAACCAAACCAATGACAACCCAGAAACCCATAACCCAATTACCAAAAACCAGCCCAAACAACAACTTTAACCTCTCAAATCACCACTTTTTAGACATACCCAGAACCCAAAAAGAAGAAAAAACACAATAAAATAAAGAATACGGGAACAAAGAGAAAAGAGGGGCTCATACCCATTACAATTCTTGAGGATTCCTGACCTGGGTGACCAAAGTTTTCTTACTCCTCTCAACACAAAGGCTTAAAACTCGCGACCAGGGCTGAAGAGAAAGAAAACTTGACCCACTATATATAGAAAGAAATATTATACATAACTTGACCCACTATATATAGAAAGAAATATTATACATATTACCTCAAATGTAACAAAAGACCAAATAAACACTATGAATCAAAATGTCTTTGGACACGAATAACAAAATACCATAAACCACACAAAGACCTTTCCTTCTCTGCTCCCTCTCCCTCTCCCTCTCCCTCTCCCTCTCCCTCTTTTTTATGTCTGTGTGAACTCTCCCTATAGGCTTCCCAATATCAGTTTCCATTCTAAATTCAGTCTCTGGTACTTAAAAAGAAAGTTCCCAAAATAATGACAAGGGGGGTGGGATTGGGTTTGAACTACCCAGTGCATGTTAGCAGCCACCCTGGTTGTTAAGAGGGTGTTAACGCGTTGGTTTTGGCTATAGTGCGCTGGCAGTGAAATTATTTTACCTGGGGTTGATTTAGAATTTGAACCACGTGCAGGGAAGGCAGGTGTAGTAATTTCCGAGGTTTGTGGAGAGAGGAAGGGGCTTTTATTACCAGAGTGACTTATAACGGTTTGTCATTAAATGACCATCCAACTGTAAGTTATTGTCTTGTTAGTTGGGATTTAAAGTGGAAATAATTTCATTAATAACTTGTAGATCAGATTTTTATTTTATTTTATTTTATTTATTATACTTCAGGTGTTCAAATTTATGTCAATTACTCTCTAAATTAGAGTATTTCCTAAAAAAAACCAGGATAACTAGCCCTTAGAGGATATGTGAATGAATTAAATCTGAGACATTTGAATTATTAAAGATCAAGTTCAACAACCGAATCACCCCTAAAAATTTTAGTACATCAAATCTTCATTTATACCTAATTAAATAGAAATAAATTTATTATTTATAACTGATTATTCTGATTTTTTATATCTCATCTGAAGAATTTACGCATACTAATGTCCACTCTAACTATGATCTAATCCAAATTTACATAACTATAAATAAACACATAAGACGAGATTATGCGGATACTCGACAAAATAGAATTGAAATTTAGATATAGTTTAGTAACATTCAACAGGTTACATTAAAAATTTGATTTCCAACCAATTCGAATGTAAATTTTGAAAGCAATATTCATTAGATATTTGGATCGAATTCGATTTGAATTGGACGAAATTCGATCCAATTTTTGATGTATTGTCGGCTTACATGTGAATGTGTGTCAGAGAGAGAGAGAGAGAGAGATGGCGAGCAGTGTGGGAGTGGATGGACGGTGGGCGGTGGTGGTGAGTTAGTGAGAGTATAAAAGTAGGTTAATAAGGGTTGAAGAAAACTGATGAAAAAGGGCAAAACGTGATGAGGTTTTAAAAAAACATTTTGCATATCTAGAACCCATTATTGATATTTTTATTAAACAAAATGGACTTAGTTATATGTGGAATGCACATGCCCTTTAATTTGACTAAAAGTAACCCGCACGGGTAGTCAGCAGTGTGGGTTGGACTTAGTGATGAATTGTAGTCTGCAAACGTGAAAGGTTCGATTCTTCCTAGTGTTTCTTAGACTCTAACTGATATCTGTAATTTAATAGGTAATTATAAGTATTCAGATTTTATTATCGTAAAGATGGTGAGATAGATATGAATTTCATCATATTTCACATAAAAAAATATGTTGAGGGTCTGACAAAAAGAGTGAGACTCAAGTGAATTTTAATAAATCATATCCTATAGGCGAAATATAATGAATTAAAGACTCATTTTTGTACAAATTTTGCCTTTATTAGTTGAAGTTAGGACTAACTTGTATACTAGGAGGAATGTCTTCCTTAAATTCTTGTAAACGACAATTTGATTCTTAAATTAACTCGAGTTACGATGGTTAATTTAAAATTCGAGAGAATAATCGACAAAAATCTAGATACCCAATAAAAAATATCAACAATTTAACTATATACACAAGCTTAAGACCCACATGAATTGCACTAAACTAAATAGAATGATTTGTCCCATTTCACAAAAAAAAACCCATATCGAATTTAGGTACTAATTCACTTTTTTATCAATCAATGTTGTGACATACATATATAGTACAATGAATATGTCATTTTAAATTTTCATGTAAAAGACAATTTCGAGTCTAAAACTAAGCTTGAGACTCATATGAATTCCATTATTGATCTATTTATCATATTTTGTTTTTTTTAAAAAAACAATTGAAGTATCCGACACAAAAGGGGAGACTCACGTGAGTGAATTTCATCAATTACATATTGTAAACGTTTCAAAAATGTATTTCTTTTTTGTGGTAACTAGTAAAATTTATGGTATGTTCTTGGCAAGTAAAAGAGCGTTTATGTCACTCAGACTCTTGAGTTTGAATAGAACTAAGGGTAAACATCGAGTGCAAGAACCAGTTTCACAATTCATACACCAGTTAAATTAGGATTTGCACATCGGTGAAAATTCAAACTCACATCAAAAGCTTGGATACAATTTATCTAACAATTGAGATTCGTCCTACTATCCCACCACGCTTTTTTTTTGCCCAAAGAATTTAAATTCTTAATTTCAAGAAGACAAAACCTTCCCAAAATAAAAAAATATCATTGGATCAAAAGCGCATTGATAATGTTTCAAAAATGTCACTAAAGCTACTTCATATATAGATACTTTTCAAAGAGAAAAGAACTTAGATTACATAGAGCCAGAGATAGGTGTGCAAAAATGTTAACATTCAAAAAAGTTTGAGAGTGGAAGTGCCTTGAGAGTATCATATTATATGCATACAGATATAATTCATTTGAGAGTATCATATTATATGCATACAAATATAATTCATTCATAAAAATTTAATATAAATAAAATATAAAAAATTAAAAATTGATGCACAACTATGAGACACTAATTAATTTTTAAATATATATGTTGATTATAATAAAGTTCTAAAATAGCAATTATAGTTTACAAATATTGTTCTAATTTGATATGTTTTTTTAGGTCCGTGTGAGTACTTCCCAAATAAAAATTTGAGTCATAATAATAAATAAACATATAATTAAATAAGAGAATGCTTTCGCAAGAATTCGCACCCAGAACGTGAGGAATTTAGAAAATTATGGGACTAAGGAAAGAACCCGATATCTTTCTTTTTCTCAAAATTAATTTGGTTTTATGCTTTTTAGTGAAATTTATACTCTATTTGGTACGATAAAAAAAGAAAAAGATGAAAAGTTAGAAGTATGGAAAGTTGGAAGGATAGATAAAATATCATATTTGGTAAGGAAGAAAAATATTAAGGTTGAAAAAGTAGATGGATAAGTTTTCCTTCCAACTCACCAAAATCAATTTCTCTTTGACGGAAAGGAAAGTAAATGAAAAATTAATTATTTATGTTGAAATGTATCTTATTTACCTATATATCCTTTGACTAATACATATATTTTGTATACATGAATTTCATATATAAATACAATAATAAAATATAAAAAAATATATATATATTTTTGCATCTTACCAAGCACAAAAAAAATTAATTATTTTTATTTTTCATTCATTCTACCAAACATATATATATCATTCCTACTTTTTACCTCTTTTACTTTTCTTGTTTTCTATTAAACAGAACATTAGTGGCTCCAAAGGGTTAGGTTAGGTTGGACAGGAATGTATGGCCACCCACTCCCAACCCCCACCTTCGCCTCCTTCCCCCCCGGGGGTTCCTGGTCAAAGATTGGGTGCGCACCCACATACGCATGTCTTGCGGTGCCTGCTGGCTCATGTCTCTAGCACATGGTTCCGTGTGTTGCCTCCATATTTTTCTGTTCCTAGTTTTAGGCACAATAATTATATGGTAGCTAGCTCACTCCCACTCCTATTCCACTCATTAATTCTCCCAAAAATTAGGTTCATGTTTGATTTAATTTTCGAAAACTGTTTTTTGTTCTCAAAATTTTAAAAACACCTAAAACTTGTTTGTTTAGTATTTTTATTCTCTAAATTTTGAAAAAAAAATAAGATTTGAGTCAAAGAAACAGAAAACAAGTATAGTTTGTTTTCTTTGAAAATTTTGAAAACAAGGAGAATAATTTTAAATGTTCAGATATGAGTATATATATATACACTTGTTTAATATATATATATATTTATATAAATACGTATAAATATTATGAAATTGTCAAAATAAAATAACTTTTTTATATTTTTTTATTAATGATTGAATTTTTGTTCAAATATATATTTAGGCTGTCCAAACAAGATTTACTATTTTCTATATTGTAAAATTATTTTGAAATCATCTAACAAAACAAATTTTTTAAAACTCTTCTCAAAAACTGTTTTCGGATACTGTTTTTTGAAATGCAAACCAAACAGACCTATACTGTTTTTTGAAACGCAAACCAAACAGACTCCTAGGTCACTCCTAGTTTCCCATTTTTTCGGTCCACTTTCTTTTAATTCTCTTTCAATGTATTTTTATTATTGTAAATTTAAGTAAAACCACTATAGGTGATATTTCTTTTAATTCTCTTTCAATGTATTTTTATTATTGTAAATTTAAGTAAAACCACTATAGGTGATATGTCATGAAAGAAGTTTGAAGGAAATAATACTGAAGTATCTAGATCAGATACCGTTTGGACATAAAATATAATATTTTAAGAATATTTAATGAATTAATATTTGGTAATTTGAATGCATTGAGAAGACGCCACGTGCCAGAATTTAAAGAAATGCGAGAGATGATCAATCACAATTATATTCGAAAAAGAGGAATAATTAACTGGAGGTTATCATTCAATAACTGCTAATAAAAGTAAAATCGTCGAAAATAATAGCTATAAAAGACAGGTGTGGCTCAACAACATTTAGAGCCTACAACAATGACAACCAATTAGACTTTTTAATTTTATTAATAATAATT